GGGAAACAGTTATTTCAGGGGATGGGTTGATGAGCTCCAAATTCACAAGTGGAAAAAAAGGACAGAACACATTTGGGGGTCCTAGTTCTTCAAGTGCTAAAAATGGCAGCTGCCAAGATGACTGCCTTCAGTTCTAGTAACGCACAGGCACGGAGGGTAGGGATTTCAAGCAGCAGATGGTCACCAGTACAAACTGTAGACACGAAAAACACTCACTACTAAAAACAGCTGACACGAACAGCTGACAGCTCACACTGCACTCTAGAATTACAGACGGTTTTTTCCTTCCAGGCCCCTCACGCTAACAGACCCACGGGAACAGCCCGTGTTTCCCGACAGCTCTCACTGCTCTTTCATGAACCCCAACAAAGCTTCGGCACAGCAGGCTGTGCACACTACTCAGGGACAAAGCTGCTCCCTCCAGAGCAAAGGTGGAGGTGCCTGCCTGAAAGCAGGGTCTGTGTTCTCGAGCTGGTGAAAGGCCTGCAGTCCCTTTTCTGTCCTTTGCCTCACAAAGATTTACACTGAGAATGTCAAGGGTCAGAGCCTTCCAGGAAGGGGAACTCAGACTGTGTTGTGTGGAAACAGAAGTCATCCAGGAGCAAATCCCTAATGTTGGCAGCTTTGTGAGGCAGGGCCAGCGGTGTCTAACTTTTTGGTGTCTCTGGGTCACACTAGAAGAAGAGTCGTCTTGGACCACACATTAAATACAAACACTAATGGAAACTGATGAGCAAAAGAGAGGTTTTAAGTAAATTTACGATTTTGTGTTGGGCCGCATTCATAGCCATCCTGGGCCACGGCTGTGGGTTGGACACCCCTATGGGTAAGAAATGATTCTTTCTGCCTCAGACTCTCCAATGTAGACAGTAAAATGTAAATGTATGCAAGAAGCTTGCTGGCTTAATTGAACAGTCCACTAATATTACTGTCAAGCATAAAGTGCCTTGTGGCAGATGGCTGTGTGGTGGTGGTTGGGGGAGGGTCCCTGCTGAGGCCCGTGTGCTGTGTGTGTGAGGGGTTCTGCTCCTGGGCCCACACTGGAGGGCCTCTGGGTGGCACTGCCACAGTCCCTTCCACAGGGCCCACTGCCCTCTCCTGCAGCCACAGCCACTAATTCAGACCAAGGCCCACCTGCTAAGGGTGGATTGTATGGCTGCCCACTTTTCTTGCCCACCCCCCGCCACACTGCATAATGTTTTAGTATATTTTATATATATTTTTAGCTCCCTTGTTATTTTAAAATGAGAAAAACACTGCAAAGGGGATTTTAAAATGTTTATCGACTTTTCTGACTACAACTATTAAACAACCAAGGCAGAAAATCTGAAAAAATATAGAAAACCTCTATGTAGAAAAGGAAAAATCACTAGTGATGATTCTACTCTCTAACAGTAACATTTTGATGTTTATCATTCCTAGATTTTCCTTTCCATATGCACACATGCATTACTATTTAAAAAACAGTAGGGGTCATATCACATATGCTGTTTAGTAGCCTGTTTTTTTACTTCATGATATTTTAGGACATATTTTTCATATTATTAGTTATTAACTAACAAAACAAATTACATGTCGATGCATGTGTTTGATGCTATGGATATGGCATGTATTATTTGGCCAGTTTCCTGCTGACTGCCATTCAGCTGGTTCTGGTGTGATTCAGAACGTCCGGGGAGGAGACTGTGGGCAAGAGCCAAGTCAGCTCTATACACGGCCACTGGCTGATGCCTCTTCCTTGTCACAACCCACAGCACAGATGGGATGATTAACAAGAGTGGGCTCTTCCAATGCAACTGCTCAGAACTAATTTTGGATTAGAGATAAATCCCTAACAAGCTTTTGCAGATGGGCAAATAGAAGGCCTAGAATTGGGTTATTAGAATAAAGATCACTCTGCAGTGATTTGCTCCTTTCTGATAAGGGATTCTGTTGGGCCCTCCAACCAGAATCCCGTTCCTGAGTCAGCTCTCTCCAAGTGACCACGGGGAAGAAGCCTGCAGCACAGGCGAGGGTTTTTCCAGCATTTGCAGGCAGGGGCAGCAGGGTGTACTGACACCTCTCTTCTCAAAAGATGGGACCTAAAACATTCTTTTGACGACTAGGGCTAGATTTAACCTCAGAATACACTATGCTTTCATTTTATTTCCTGATCTGGTTAGTCCTAAAATCTTTATCCAACGGTTGTCCAAGTCCTATCAAACATACTGAGAAAATACTAGGAGCTATTCAATAGATTTTTGTTGATTCGATATGACTATAGGAATATACTGGCAGATATAAACCTCTATTAGAATTTTTCACTGATTTCAAGTTATGGAGAATGCTCTGTACATAAAATACAATTATTATGTAAGTGCTGAGGCCTTGGAAGCTAAGGAGTTATCTGCAGGAGGAACTCAGGTGTACACGAATCCCAGGAGAAGAGGGGATAAATCATTACAGCATAAAAAGGAACAAGCTCTGCCCCTGTTACTAAAGCAACTAAAGTGTAAGTGTTAAGGGCCACAGGAGAAAGGTGAGAAACTGCTGAGCGCAATTCAGTGGGTTAAAGTAACCACATGAAAAAGAAATGTAAGAGCATATCGCATGTAAGAGCAATTCTGCTTCATGACACACGAGTACGCATGTGCGCCGTGTATGTGGGTTTGAGCATGCTTTGCAAGTCAGCATGCAGAGCCAAGCCAGATTATATAACAAAGAGTAGCTCTTCTGTGAGTCATGCTCAAACATCTGAAACCCATCTAGGCTGACTTTGTTCCATGAATGAAGCTAGATACACAAAAACCAGAATTTTCTTTTATTATACATTAATCAATAATTTTTTTTCTCTGAGTAGGTACTAAAATGTGTCACTATTCAAACTTTAAATCTCCTTCACACGCCTCTTCTCATGTGAGAACTGGGAACCTAACATAAAAGTCCCATCTTAGACAACTTTTTAGCAGAACTGTCCTATGTGAAACTTTCAGTACTGTGACACAACTTTAACAAAGGCCATCTTGCTCCAACAAACAGGAAGACAAGCACTAGTTTAATACATACACATACAACAAACAACTAAAAATAGCAGCCGGGACTATGAGAAATAATAGCTTGATTTTAATATAGCAAATCCCAGATCACAGCCTTTCCCATACCTTTTCAACAACTAGCTGGTTATCATCCTCCAGTATGGTAACTGATTCTATGACTCAGGGCAGTGTCTTATTACCCAACTGGGATTGCTATGTTATCATCTTATTCAAGGTAAGTGATTTTTATAAGAATTTTATTCAGGTTAGTTTTACAGTACAGACGTATGACTTACGGATGAGTGACCTCTTAATCTTTCAAGTTCTCCATGTTGGTTAGCGTCCCACTTTAAATTTTTTGAAGTCTCCACTTGTGATTCCAGTTTTAATTTTTTTGAAACCCACCTCTGCACAGAAGAGCATTTGAGAAAAATAATTCAGGCTCTTGTGTTGGCAGTGAAAAAATCTTTGCCAGTTATAAAGCATAGGACTCCCTTTTCTTTCTTTCTTTTTAAGCTTTTATTTATTTAATATTAGAGAAAGGGGAAAGGAAGGAGAAAGTGAAGGAGAGTGTGTGGTTGCCTCTCGCATGCTCCCAACTGGGGACCTGGCCTGCAACCCAGGAATGTGCCCTGACTGGGAATCAAACCAGTGACCCTTTGGTTCGCAGCCTGCACTCAATCCACGGAGCCACACCAGCCAGGGCAGGACTCCCTTTTTAATCAACAACCTTGGATTCTTATATTTTTAGTGATGTTACACCTGAATTTTCTACTACCAAAAGCTGGATGAAATAAGAGAGAAAAGTGATTATTTAAAGGACATACTGCTTGTTGATTACTCTAGTTTCCAGTACTGAGTTCATTTTTAGAAAGTCCCATAACTGGACTCCCTTACCTTATCTTCATAGAAATACATTCAAAGACCATTACACAAGGTGGGGTGAACTTAGGTTTACAGTTGTTTGTATGGATAATACAATAATTAATAAGTAATAGTACAAGAATAAACAGTTTTGCATATCACAGCTGTAAACCCACTTCTGCCCCACCCCGTGTGCTGTCAGACATTGTGGATGGTTTACATGGAGGCTTCCCATCCAGGATGCTGTGGTCACTTAATGGTGGTAAGTATTGTGTGGATCCCCTCAACCCCCAGGGATAATCATCTTGCTGAATGCATACATTTTCCATGCGTGCCATGATGTCAAAACGTTTGGAAAGTTCTGGCTGACTGAACAAACAGACACATGAACATCTTATCGTTTGTAACCTGCTACTAAAGACACTAGTCCTTAATCTACCTAATGTTCCTTAAAATCCGAATTGGTAAAAGACCTATGGAAGCATTCAGCATTGAAAAGGATTTTCCCATTAAATTGGTATATTCTTACATCATGAGTATGAGTTAACTCGTTTTCTTTTTGAATGGCGTTTTAGGAAGCTCAATTCTGCATTTTGTGCTCAACTATACTAGCCATCTTTAGTCTAAATTATCTGCTACACTTACAGTTACTCACTACATTTCATCACTAAACAGTTCTTTTAATACTTTATTCAATAATTTTGTTATAGAATGTAACCTATGACCTATTTTGTAGATTGGATTGAAAATAGTAAAGGAACAAATAAAAATTTCAGAAAAAATGTAACTATAAAAAGTCTGGTATTACTATTCAATATATTTCTGTAATAATGGAAAAATATTACCCTAGAAAGAGCATAATAAAATTTATCAGCTCAATCTTGTGAACTGTAATTCAAAAACAGCACACACATAAACTCATTAGTCATTGATTATAAAGCTATACAGCTTTCTGGATTGCATAATAACTTTTGAGGTAAACCATATGAAAGTGCCATTGTTGTAGGTCACAAAATGGTTAAACATTAGGAATTTCATATAGTTCTAAATGAATAGGAGAAAATGATTTATTTGCTAATAGGATATGGATATATTAGTGACAAGAATAGAATTACGTCTCACCTGAATGACCTCAGCATTCGATAGGACTTTCCTAAATCAGATACTCTTCTGCAGAATGGACCCACAGCCAACTCCATCTGAAATATTAAAAGATAAGACCCATAGCTTTAATGCAGAATCCTAACATGAATTGGGGACACACCTGGATCATAGAAAGTTGTAGCTTACAGTAAACTTAATTTTATCTGGACTCTGAGGAAAGCTTTAACTCAATCAAATCTATTAAAAGACAAGAACTTAGGTGACTTTGGTACTTATTTAGTAAAAGGGCATAAAGTAAGACAATTCCTTAAAGAAAATAGAAAAACATTCTTTATTACATAATAGGAGAAAGTTTTAGACCATTTCTCCATTAAAAACTCAGAGAAACTAAGGTTTTCAAGACTGTGTGCCTATACTTAGTAGATATACCAGGACTTTTTATATTAAATATAAACAATGACAATTTTTTCCAAGCAGGCTCAAATGATTAAAAGCACTGACTCTGGAGGTAGCTCATCTGTGTAAGAACTCCAGTCTACAATGACTAAACTAGTTGTGTGGTCTTGAACTTAACCTAAGTCCCAGGTTTCTTATTTGTCAAATGCAGATGTATGTACTTCATAGTATTATGCAAATAGATAATTTCACAAAACTCTCTGTGCGTGGCATATATAATAAGTGCTCTTTAAATGTTGGCAATTAGTGTCAATATTTTAAAAACTTTTTCTCATTTAAATTATTAGTAAATTACTTTACACCCTGACTCAATAATTTAACAACTACTGGTTTCACTTCTCTTTATATTCCTCCTTTGATTGGAAATTTTACTTGTTATTAATTGGAGTTTTAGGCTACCTATTCTTTTTTAAAAAATATTTATTTATTTATGTGTGTATGTATGTATGTATATATGTATAGACAGATGGGAAGAGAGGGAGAGAAACATCAGTGTGTGGTTGCCTCATATGTGTCCCCTACTGGGGACCTGGCCTGCAACCCAGGCATGTGCCCTGATTGAAATCAAACCGGCGACCCTTTGGTTTGCAGGCCGGTGATCAATGTACTGAGCCACACAGGCCAGGGCTTAGGCTACTTATTCTCTATCTACCAATTGCATATGCAAAGTTTTTGCACATGTGGCATTCAGATGATACTATCTCTGCACTCTTGCTATAAAGAGGACTCTGCTTAAGAATTGTTTAGAAAGTAGCTGAACGAAAGGCTGCTAGCTGCTAATGCAGCATCTTTCTTCAAGAAAAACATACAAAAGGAAAGTGAGGGCTTCCATCCTGCTGGCCATCCTTCTGAAAAACTGTTCAAATCTCCTTGCCATTGGAAGACCACGGAGACCTCCACGGCCACTCTTTTGAGAAAGATTTTTGACTCCCTATTCATTACAAGTACCAAGCTAGACATGGGAATGAGAAGATGAATTACCCTGTCTTGTCTTCAAGGAGCTCTCTCAAATTTAGTGAACAAAAGGATATGTGTTTATCTAAATGATATAAATATTACTTAAAAAATCGTAAGAAAGGTGTGTGTATACATATATGCACACATACATATAGAGATACTGGATGATGAGTATTCAGCAAAATGCCGTGTGGTATCAAATGTTTGGACTGAGTGTTGGGGAGAACTGGGGGGGCAGGATCCTTGAGACAGTCCTGAGGGTGACTTAAGGCTGGGTGAATTTCTCTCTTAATAGAGACACAGAGGATACATACTATATGTCCCGGAAGAAAACTCCCATGCTTGAAAAATGTGTTAAAATAGGGAATAAATAAGTAAAAAGTAAAAAGTTTAAGAAAGAAAAGGATTCTTGCCAACAATGCAAAACAGAACAGCTTCGAGCTGGTGCTCAACTCAAAAGACAGTGAGTGATGGATGGGCTGTTCCTTGGGGCCTGTTGAGCTTATTTACTCCATGAGAGTTTCTGTTTTTCTTCAGAATGGGTCATATTTACACCAAGCACAAAGTAAAAATGTGATTATCATGTATCTGAGTTGGCAATTCCAATCATATACTAACTCTGTGTGAATATGTGTGTATATAATAAATATGTTACGATGGTTTTTTACACACAAATTTTTTTGTCATTTTTTTTCAACTACCCTAGTGGGTTTCATCATCTTCAAAAAACCTTTTGCCTTAAACCAAACCACCTTTGCCTTAGCACTTGAGCAGGATTGAATGTTAAAACAAATAAGTGGCTGGGAAAAAAAATTACAATATGAGAGAATACACGTATGATAGTGAATGGCTGTGTAATCTATGATAATGCAGGATATTTCTATGCCAAAGGACAATTTCAAAATGTTAAGGGCTTAAAATTAATTTCTGATCCATAAAGGACCTCTAGGGTACTGAAACCCACTTTCTTCTGCAGGAATTCCAGGAAGCAATATGGGCCATGTTTCAAAGGGGCAAGAGTGCCACCTTTGGAGGAGGAGACTCTGCCATTAGCTATGGACATGGAAGCGGCACGTGCAGCTGCCTCTCTTCAGCTCTCCTGTTAGGATGGAATGAGCAGTCGGCTGCAGGCCCAGTGAACTGATTACATAGCTGCTCCTCACCCGTCACAGACATTTGGTTAACCCCAGGGCATCTCTGGATGCTCCTAGGACACGCCTGCTCTGACACTGTTCAGGAGAAAAGGCAATGGAATTAGAACAGAAAATAGAATCTTGAATATTTTGTTCTCTTTTGAAGTCTGTATTGCCAGGCAGAAGACCTATAAATAGAAACTGCTAGAAGTACCACTGAGTAAATAATCTAATGCTAACACAAACAGTCATCCACTCCCTCAAGGAAGAAACAAAACTGAGAAGCAGAGGGGCGTATGTGCTTCAGAGGACATCGTGGACAAGTCCTTAAAGCGACTCTGACTCAGCAGAACCTCAGCGGCCTTGGACCAGCTTTGTGCTTCAGAACCACTGTGTGATTAGTGTCGACTCAGAGACCATGTGGTCACAGTAAGGAATTAATTACCTGCAGGAAACCACCTTGTGCTGTGACCTGATTCCTCAGGGGACTGGATGTTAGGTCCCTCCTCCCCATGAACCCTCCAGATGGCACCCCGAAACTACTTCCTCTTCCACCTGTGCAATGGTACCAGGGGAGAAGTCAGGGTCCTGAAGAAATCCTTAAATATATCATGTCCTTGCGACTGGACTCTATGCCAAATAATCAGTATCCCCAAATCCCCGCCACTGGTCTCTTTATGAGCAGTTTCTTTTTCTGTTCTTTGTGCCTGAGGAGCGAGCACTTTCCTCACAAGAACTCTTTCGAACCCACAGAGGATCTGCATGTTCCTGATCCCAGTGGCCCCGATTGCTTCATTTAATTTTGGATACAAACAGCTAGAACTTTCAATAACAAGGCAGTCTTGAGGCTTTCTAGTCCCCAGTTGATGCCTGTCATGAATATAAATGTAAGGGTGGTGCTATTTAAGCGTGGTGACTGACCCCAGAAAAATACTCCCACCCAAGTATAATTCTGAAAGCTGAGGTGTAGCCACCACATAACTGCAGATGTAGCCAGATACCAAATCAAACAAAATGAAAACCACAAATCCATGTAGTCACTGTGTCATTTCAAATTTTTAAAAATATGGACAGAAGGATAATATAACAGCTGCATAATATTTGCCAGAATTAAAACACGATTATGAGAGTACTCCCACCTGGTCAAAAACATGATTATGAGAGTACTCCCACCTGTCTTTCCCGGGCCCACCACCCACAGGACCAAGAAGCCATTTCCAAGGTAAATGGGGGATGTTCTAAGACTGGGCACACTGTATAGGAGTGAACAAAGGAATCAGCACCACAGAGGCTTTAGCAAACAACGTCAGTGCAGGACTGGAAAACATACTATTAACACGGAGGAAATGCTGTGTTGTAAACGTGTTGTCTCTATACATTTAAGCAATGAAAACACTGGATGCTCTGGAGCATAAGAGTTTCATTTAACTTAAGGGAAGGGACCTGGGAAAAGGTTTGGTTTATTGGGCAACATGTCTTAAAAAAGAAGGAATGCCAAATAAAATTCTGAATACCACAGTTTTCAGAAAGTGGGAACTCAGCCCTGCCACTGGATGGTATGCAGTTTTCAGTAGGTGCTTGTCGCAGTAGGAAGGGTTAATGGGCAATGCTTTCCATCTTTCAAGAGTCATAGGCACCATATTAAAATGAAAAACAAAAGCCAAAAGCCTCTTCCTACAGCACTCTCGCTCTGGCCATCTCCTGGTTATCTCCTGCTCTCCTCCTCTAAGTGGACTTGAAGTACCTCCTCCAGGAAAGTGACTGAAGGACCAGCTGGAGCAGAACACAAATAAACCCATGGGGGAGGCAAAGGAGAGGAGAAGATAGGAACCGAAAAAACAAAATTAAGAAGGAAGGGGAAAAGAGGAACAGATATTCATTTGACTATAGCTCATAATGTTTTTTTCTTTTTATATTTATTTACTGATTTTAGAGAAAGAGAGAGGAAGAGATGGGGGAGAGACACAGAGAGACAGAGAAGTTTTGTTCCACTCATCTATGCATTCATTGGTTGATTCTTGTATGTGCCCTGACTAGGGATCAAACCCACAACTTTGGGGTGTTGGGACAATGCTCTAACCAACTGAGCTACCCGACCAGGGCTGGTAGTCACTGCGTCTTCATTTCAGTAACAGTATGTAAGCCCAGTAAGGGACAAGGAAGACACTATCTATATATAATTCTATTTAAGCTTAAGTTTACCTGTGTAACAAAGCAGAATATACAGGTGCCTTAGAATGAAGCTGATAAAAACGGGAAAGGTAAAAGGAGCCACGTTAATGGTAACAATTAATTTCTATTTTCTTGCTAAGGCTACCAAAGGCGTATTTCCCAAAGGAAGGCTCTTTATTATGGTCTAGTGGTCTCAGGTATATCATTTGAGGATAAAAATGACATTTCTAGACTAATAGGTATGCAAAGAGCTAGCTCTCAAGACATCAGGTTATGTACTTGGTTCATTTTTGTGACTCTATTGGGTGTGAGGGAGTGTCAGGCAACCACCACACTGGCACAAAGCATCCTGTCACATCCTTTTCTCTGTGCAGGAAGAATAAACCAAGACTTTCCCATACATACACACAGGTATAAATAAGGACATTAAAATTTGTTTATAAGCTGGGGGATCTGGGAGACCACTATGAATACTCTATTTGAATAACTAGACTACTCAGGCTAATAGCTTTGAAAGGCTCAAAAGTGATTTCTCCTTTGACATGCTATGTAAATGGGAATTATCTGTTTCTGAATCTTTTAATTAAAGTGTATGCTTGAGATGTTTCTTCTTTGCCTCTGATACTATTAAAAAGTATAAAAAATATATCTTGGAGGACAAAGAAAAAATACTATCTATAAATGCTGATTTTGGTTCTGTTATTTTAATGTCATTTTTACCTCACCCATATCACAAAGCTTGAAATGTGCCCACCACCCACAGGATAGGAACTTCCTAAATCAGAGGAAACGGAGATGTTTGGGGAGATCTGCCTTCCCTAAACAAATTCTTGGCAAAGATATTTCTGTTCTTGTATCTGATCAGTACAATAGTAGAACTCTGACTGTAAGTGGGTCCATATACGAGAAAGGTTCTTCATTTAATAGTGGGGACCAGCTCCTCAGACTCTTTATCTCCCAGCCCCTGTGTATCTAAAGGAATTAGAACACTGTCTTGGAATGTTGAGATGGCCACTAAAGGATTACACATGTGTAGGAGTTTTTTCTCTTTACATGACAACAGACAGACCCTTCACACTGTTTGAAGAATAAATTTCACTGCCTACATTATTTTCTAGCAGTCACTTTTACCCACACTGCCTTGCCCTGGTGGGACAGTGAAACAGAGAAAGCCTCATGTTACATGAAAGTGGGAGGTATTGCTTTACTGCAGAATGAATGACTTCACCTTGACTGTGAAGTGTCAAAGATGAGTGATGATTCTTTTATTAAATATAAAGAAAATAAGTATCCGCTATGAATTCTCTCCTATGAAAGTACATTTATACGTTTTTATTTATTACCAATTAGGTTTAAATGAATTTTTTCCTCATACTTCAATGTTTTAAAACATCGAGAAATGCTTATTTATTTATTTACTCCTCACCCAAGGACATACTTTCATTGATTTTAGAGAGAGAGGAAGGAAGAGAGAGAGAGAGAAACATTGAATGGTTGCCTCCTGTATACACCCTAACCGGGCATCAGGCCTGCAACCTAGGTACGTGCCCTACCGAGAATCAAACCTGCAACGTTTTGGTGTATGAGATGATGCTCCAACTACCTAAGCCACCCGGCCAGTGCCGTATTTAGTATTGTATTTACAGATAACATTGAGGCTAAAATACTTTCCCCTTTGTAGCGATGCATCAACTTACCTGTGCAAAATCAGCAGCAAGTCGCATTTTCCCACCTTCACCAAGAGGTCTTATGAGACTGGCATTGCGGATGAAAAGTTCAATCGCTCTTTGGGCAATGGCTTCAGTGTTATCAAAGACAAAGTCCGAGCATTCAAAGTGCTTAAAGTAGTCACTCATGACTCTGGCAATGAAACCTTGAAGCTCCTTCATATACAGAGAACAAGGAACATCAGGCTTTCCTGAGCTGGGTAATGACCTGTGAGAGAAAAAACAGCCAATGCACTAAAAGGGACTCTTTGACATTTGTTCTCCCTTCTGCTTATTTTAATCCCAAGCATTTTTTCCCTTATCGTGCAGAAATGACATTGCTTATTTTTGCTAAGAGTTAAAAGGCATAAAAAGGCATAAAAATGTTCAAATTATATCCTAAAGACTATTTTAAGATTCTGGGAAGATTACTGAGGGAATCATTAGAATTCATTTACCTAAAAATTATTAAAAATAAAATAGACAGCCGTCTGTCCTGGATAATTCACGGGAGTGCCTTATGCACTCTCTGACCTCTGAGGTCTCTCTCAGCTTCACAACTCTGCACCCACTCATACGTTTTGCCAGGTTAGTGAATAAATAGATCCTGAAGCAGCATTTTACACTTTGTAATGGCAATAAATGCTGCCTTCCCTAAACAAATTCTTGGCAAAGATATTTCTGCTCTTGTATCTGATCAGTACAATAGTAGAACTCTGTGGAATTGGTTATGTAACAATACACATTGCACAAAATTTTTCCTCCCAGTTGATGAGGTTTAGAAAGGTTTTAATTTGGATCAACAACTAACGCTGGCTGATGCTCCGCCAAATAGTCTTTATAATTTATAAGTGTTCACAATGGCTTTTTAAAGAATACATTAAAAGAATGTGAAGTAGTTATAGGAAAGAAGAGTTATATCAAAATTAGAAATCACCTAATGTTAAATACTACATCATTTAAAAAAATAAGTCACGTGTTTCCGTATTCTGAGAATGACAGAGAGAAACTGGCAACAGTCTAGAGAAGAATTGACTCAAGCACCTAGAGTAAGAGAATGAGGTAAACTTATTTTCAAATACAGCAGTAGTTATTATAAGGAGGATGCTAATCAAAGGTCTTCTACTTCCAGAGGCAGAGGGAAATAGAGAAAGTAGCCAGAAATTCCAGGCAAACTCTGGCAGTGCCAGAAACACACAGGGAAAGAGTGAGTTATGTGGATTTAGAGCGAGGGCTATTTTCCCCCTAAGCCAAACCTACCCCCCGCACCGTTCCCATGTTGGGCCCTCCCCGCCAACCCCACACATACACAGCATTAGACTGAAGCACTGCACTAGCTCCACCCTGGTGATTCCTGGAGGCCCTGCCTTGCCCAGCTAGCACATGACTGTGGCACAGGCCAACCTGGGCCTATGCTGCAGCATTTCTTAAAAAACTCTCAGGGAATTCTATGAGGGCTATGGGAGTGCCAGAGATACACAGGAGAGGCTAGGTTGTATGGCTTCAGGGTGAGAGCCTCTTTCCAGTACGCCTGATGGGCGCCACCTTTTCCATGCTGAGCCCTCCCTCCACAGGGCCCAATCTTAATCTGCTTTAGCGTGATTCACTTGACTGGTCCAACCCTTATGACTCCTGAGATCCTGAGCCACCACAACAATCCTCAAGCCCTAGGCAGATGGTAGCTGGCCTCAGTGTACCTGAGACTTTTGCTAGGTGGCATCAGATCCAGCACTAGCGCTGAGTTTCAATCTGTATTAACCTGGTGAACACCACTAGCCCTCAGCTGGTTCCTCCGAAAAACCTATCTCACACAGCTCATGTATTATTACCTAAGGCTCTTCTGGAGGCTGAGCTTATCAAGCAGCAGCACCACATCTCGAGGTGCCTCAAGCCTTTTGCTGACCTCCCCAGCACCAGTACTGGTGGCAGCAGGCCTTGGTACGCAGCTTGGCCCATCTCCTATGCACCTAGGTCAAGCACAAGCAGCTCCCAACCCTGGACTACTTTGTAACTCCTCACAGGCAGCCTCGGACAGGTCATAGGCAGCTTCTAACATAGAGCTGCAACAAAGTCCCTCCCAAGAGGGCCCAGAACCAACACACTCAGCGGCTCACTTCAGATCACAATAAGAGCATGACCTCATTAGCTCCACAGGTGGCACACCCAAAGGGAGTTCTCAGTGAGCACCAGAACCTTCAGAGGTACATTCTACTCCCTGGGGTCAGGCCCAATACAGCAGCTCGTATGCTGTGGTCATGGCCAATCCTCATGGACAGACAGTCCAAGGGTCAACCCCACCCACAGACATACCAATAGCAATCAAGGTTCAACTGTAACACAAGGACTCACATAACCCACACGAGAGACACTACTGGAGCACCCAGCTCAAGTGATCAGGGATACTTTGCCACTGGGTCCTACAGGACACCTACCACATAAGGCCACTCTACTAAGACTGGGAGACATAGCAGATGTACTTAATACACAGAAACAAATAAGGAAAAGCAGTGAAAGTGGGGAGACAAAGAAACATGCCCCAAATAACAGAACAGAAGAAATCTCTAGAAAAAGAATTGTATGAAATGGAAGTAAGCAATTTACTAAACACAGAGTTAAAAAAAATACTTACAAAGATGCTCAAGAAACTTAGAATTTCGACAGAATAAAAAATGACATAGAAACTATAAAAAAGACACAATAAAAAAGGAAGAATAAAGTAATAGAAAGGAAGATAAACTAGAGATAATCAAAATCAGGTTAGATGAAGCAGATGATCAAAACAGTGAATTGAAAGACAAGGTAGGAGAAAATACCCAATCAGAGCAGAAAAAAAATATTTTATATGAGAATATTTTAAGGGACCTGTGGGACAACATCAAACATAACAATATCAGCTTCATAGCAGTACCAGAAGGAGACGAGAGCAAGAAATTGAGAACCTATTTGAAGATAATTGCCTGAAAATTTCCCTAATAGTGAAGGAAAAAGGCACAGAAGTCCAAGAAGCACAGAAAGTCCCAATCAAGATGAATCCAAAGAGACCCAACCAAGACACATCATAATTAAAATGGCAAAGGTTAAAGACAAATAGAAAATCCTAAAGACAGCAATAGAAAAACAGTTAACTACAAGGGAGTTCCCATAAGTCTGTCAGCTGATTTCTCAACAGAACCACCACAGGCCAGAAGGGAATGGCATGAAGTATTCAAAGTAATAAAAAGTAAGGATCAGAAACCAAGATTACTCTATCCAGCAAGGCTATTGTTTAAAATTGAAGATGAAATTAAGAGATTCTTAGACCAAAAAAGAAAGGACAAGGAGTTCATTACCACCAAACCATAATTGCAAAAACTGTTAAAGGCAGTGATTTAAGAAGAAATTCAGAAAGAGAGAGAGAGAAACAAGCAATTCAGAAAGAGAGAGGAGCTCAGACATAAAGAATTTAAATGGTAAGAAATAATGACCTATTGATGATAACCTTAAATGTAAATGGAGTAAATGCTCCAATCAAAAGACACAGGATAGCTGAATGGGTAAGAAAACATAACCCATATATAAGGTTTCTACAAGAGAGCCACATCAGAATAAAAGTTACACAGGCTGCAGGTGAAGGGACGGAAAAAATATTACATTCAAATATAAACTAAAAAAAGCTGGGGTAGCAATACTTATATCCGACAAAATATACTTCAACACAAAGGCCATAACAACAGACTAAGAAAGTGATGAAATAACACTAAAAAGACCAATCCAACAAGAGGACATAACCCTTGTAAACATATATGCACCCAATATAGGAGCACATAAATATATCAAAAAACTCTCGGTGGACTTTAAGGGACAGCAATGCACTCATACTAGGGGACTTTAATACCCCAGTGATATCAATAGACAGATCTTCTAGAGAAAAAATTAACGAGGAATGAGAAATGTTAAATGACACAATAGATCAGATGGATTTAATTGATATTTACAGAACATTTCATTCCAAAGCAGCAGAATACATATTCCTCTCAAGGATACATGGAACAGTTTCAAGGGCAGACCACATGTTAGGACACTAAATAAGTCTTAACAAATTCAAGATTGAAATCATACCAAGCATCTTCTGAGATAACAATAGCATGAAACCAGGAAATCTACTACTCAAAAAATAAAAAAAACAAAACAAACAAACAAAAAAACATCAACTACTCAATAATAAAAACTCAAAGATATTTAAACATATGGAGGCTAAATAACATGTTATTTTTTAAAAATATGTTTTATTGATTATGCTATTACCGTTGTCCCATTACCCCCCTTCATTCCCCTCCACCCTGCACACCCTCTCACACCCACATTCCCCCCTTTAGTTCATGTCCATGTGTCATAAGCTCTTTAGCTTCTACATTTCCCATACTATTCTTGCCCTCCCCCTATTTGCTACCTACCATCTATGCTACTTATTCTCTGTACCTTTTCTCCCTCTCTCCTCCTCCCACTCCCCTGTTGCTAACCCTCCATGTGATCTCCATTTCTGTGGTTCTGTTCCTGTCTATTTGTTTTCTTAGTTTCATTTTGTTTTTGTTTTAGGTGTGGTTGTTAATGATTGTGAGTTTGCTGTCCTTTTACTATACATGTTTTTTATCCTCTTTTTCTTAGATAAGTCCCTTTAACATTTCATATAATAAGGGCTTGGTGATGATAAATTCCTTTAACTTGACCTTATCTGAGAAGCACTTTATCTGCCCTTCCATGCTAAATGAAAGCTTTGCTGGATAGAGCAATCTTGGATGTAGGCCCTTGCCTTTCATGACTTGGAACACTTCTTTTAAGCTCCTTCTTGCTTGTAAGGTCTCTTTTGAGAAATCAGCTAACAGTCTGATGGGAACTCCTTTGTAGGTAACTGTCCCCTTATCTCTTGCTGCTTCTAGGATTCTCTCCTTCATTTTACTCTTGGGTAATGTAATTATGATGTTCCTTGGTGTGCTCCTCCTTGGGTCTAACTTCTTTGGGACTCTCTCAGCTTCCTGGGAGCCTATTTCCTTTGCCAGATTGGAAAAGTTCTCCTTTACTATTTGTTTAAATAAGTTTTGCACTTGTTGCTTTTCCTCTTCTCCTTCTGGTACCCCTATAATTCGGATGTTGGAACTTTTAAAGATGTCCTGGAGGCTCCTAAACCAATCCTCATTTTTTTTGAATTCCTGTTTCTTCATTCTTTTCTGTTTGGTTGTTTCTTTCTTCCTT